TATATATATATATATCTATATATATATATATATATATATATATTATGAACAACTATATAAAGTTTATAAATGATAAATAACTATATAAAGTTTATATCTTCTGCCCTTACGATAGAGGACCTAATTTAGAAATAGGGGTATTTCAGTCAAGGAAAAGTCCAGAAACATTTAAGGTTTATTCCGACTTTATATAGTAGTATAGATATGGGATATATGGATTCTCAATATCAGATTTTCTTTTCGAATAGTAATTAGTAAATGCAAAAATATAGAGGGATACATACATACACAGACATGAGGGAGAGGGGGGCTATGAGAAGGAGACGAAAGGGCTTTCATTTGACCAATGATTTCCTTCAAAAAGAAAACCTAACCAAATCCATCTGAATGAGGAGATTGGAGACCTTGGTATCAACTTTCCACCTATAATGGGTTGTTAGACAGTGTATGCCCTTAGCTCCAATCAGATTGATGTACATATCCATTTATTGTAAATGAATAAAAGTACATAATTGATTCATGTTATACTTGGTGTCTTTCTGTGTAATTACCCTTAAACTAGACACTTATGAGACTCGTATTAATTTAGAATGTTCACATCCGTTGGATAGATCTGGGGAGGTTTTTCCTGCCAAGGCTGACACTAATGTGCTGCCAAGTCGTTTGGGGTAGCTTGTCTCAGCTGTCAGGATTAGACCCGAAGCACATGTAGTGTGTGTTTACTTGAAACACTGAACTCGGACCATTTTCCAGTTATGCCCTGGACCTTGGAGACTAGTGGGCAAAACTGGAAAGTTACACCTAACCCCTAGACTCGATTATGGTACTGCACTGAGTGTCAGATTAGACTGTCTTTGATATGCCAATCAGTGAGATCCTTCGGGGGTCAAAACCTGGGTATGCTGGGGCAGTCTGAGAATTCACTTGAGTGGATGATCATAGTGACAGGATCAGCCCCTTTGTCAGACAAAGTAAATGATCAGGGACTGCACTCTCTCTAATGAAAACCAAAACTGCCGGCAGTCGATTTCAACCGTGTTTGAGATTTGTTTTGCAAAATATATTTATATGAATATATATATATATATATATATATATATATATATTATGTGTTATGAAAAGGTTTGCAAAAGGTTTTAATTCACAGGATCCATCCGAGCAAAGAGTGCAACACTATACCTTGCAGCCGAGGGAGAGGTCCTCTCTTGTCGGGCAGTGTTTGATCATTAAGGGTTGAGAGGTTAAGTGTAAGACCATTTAGGGCTATTATACCTGATGGGCTAATCTCACTTAAGACCATTGTCCTTGGGCCTTCATAAGATGGTTGGACTCAAGGACCATTTAGTGTAAATGTTGGGCCCATTAATATTGATGGACTCAAGGGTTCACTGTGCTTAGCAGTGAATTCGGCCAGGCTTTGTCACAGAAGCTAGGTTGAACCCATATGGCCTTTGTGATGTCAATGTTAGGGTCCCACGCCATACAAAGAGAGACAAGTTAGCCAACAACTAATAAGGGACGTGAGCCACCTCCCTAGTGGGCCTAAAGCTCAAAGATTAATCGGATTAATCATCATGGGCAAATTTAGGTAAGGATATGGGTTTGGATCAGCAGATAAGGATAAGAAGATAAGTCTTATCTACTTAAAGAGTACAGATCCAAATAAAGATTTGGATCAGGAAGCTCCTAATTGGATTAGGAGTAAAGCTCTTTAAGCTATATAAATAGAAGAGGGCAAACTGCTCCAGGTTTACACACTGCTCTCAGTTCTCCCTCTCTCCTTCTGCTCTTGCCACCCTAACCCTAATTCGACCTCCATTCTTTCTGATAGAGATCAGTTTTGATTCTGATTTTTTGCAAGAAAAATCAGATCTAATTTCGTGCTCACCTCCCTTGCTTGATCAAAGTTGTTGGATTGCAGTTCTTGTTGAAGGATTGCATTGTTGAACCTGCTTCATCTCAAGCTATGCCATCTTCAGTGGAAGTGGGTTTTGGTACCCTCTTTGGGCGTGAACACCTACTTTGGGAGCTACACGTGTAGATTCCGTATCAGGTATTGCTCTCTCTTTCTTTTGATTTCAGATCTGATCCAATTTGGATCAAGAACGATCCTTGAAAAATGAAGTTTTTCTAAAACTGGGAATACGACTCCCGGAAGGGAGAAAAGAAATTTTTGAAATTTTGCCCAGCCATCTTGCATGGTTCGGCCTTCCATATGATGGATTTCCCTTTCCTTCAATGGGATAATTAGGAGCGAAGGTTTGTTTCTACTGAATGAAAAAGCCTAAGGATATCCAGTGTCCACATTCAAGGAATGGATTTTGACATTGTCCATCTGGAAAAGGCTTGATAAATTGATTTGAACTAGGTCTTTAATAAGTTGCTGATTTGTTCATAGATTTATGATGCATTGATGGAAGCAATGTGTGTGTTTGTCTGTGTGTGTGTGTGTGTGTGTGTGAGAGAGAGAGAGAGAGAGAGTACCTGTGGGGGGTTTATAATTGCACAGAAACGGTCCACGGGAAACATTCCCAGATTTGAGATGCTGCATAAAGTTTGAAAGCAAATAATGTATTTAATGCCATATCACAATATAAAATTAATAAGTCACAACTATTAGAGTCTTTCAAACCAATCTAGTAACTTCACCTAAAGGTCCCTCCTTGAAATTCATGAGGGGCAAGCTTGCCTGCTCTTGCCTTCTCAGCCAATTCTTTGACCTGAAATATGAAACAGCAAAAGGATTAGCAAGATACCAAAAATGAAAAATCATTTCCTGCTGCTATTCCTACAATATAAACTAATTTAATAAATGGAAGAATGTTTCATCCTCACTATCTACTAAGGACCCATAGGAAAAGGTGATTCTACAAGGGCCGAGTTGTTAGTGGTTTTACAAGGACTAAGAATGGGAAGATCAGGGAATATTGCAACTTGAGACAATCTCAACTTGGGTTCTGAGATTAGAAAACTGTCTAGCAGAAAAATGAAGATCGGGGAATGTGGCAGTATAGATATTTGTAAGGGAAGCTAGACCTTTGTCTAGGCAGTATCAGACAACCTTCACTTTGGTTCTGAGATTGGAAAACTGTCTGGCAGATGTCTTGTCTAGACAAGGATTGCAGGGTACCCCCTTTGTACATTATCATTCTTTCATTAAAATCAATAAAATCTAGATTGTTGCCAATAAAAAAAAAGGACTAAGAGTGTGGGTAAACCCTATAGTGGTGGAAAGAGACTCCAAAGTGGTATGTCATGGATTAAGAACTGTTAGTGTCGACTAAATAAGGGTAGAATAGTCATTTGGGTTTTATTAATATGGTGATGTGTCTTTTAGCTAGTGCTGATGTGTCCGAACTTAAATAGGGGCATAAAAGACATTTGCTATTTATTTTAGTAAACTATATATCCTGGCTGACCTAAGAAAGAATTTGAACTATTCTCTTCTCTTGGGTTCGAACAGGTTTCTTCTTCGGTTTCTCCTTCCCTTCTTCTCTCCCTCTCTCTCTTACTTCTCTTTTAAATCAAGTTCAGATCTGAAACTAACGAATATAAATAATCACAAGAACAATATAGGGGGGATCCAGGAAATATAATCATATTGAGAGGTGAGCACCTGGCCAAGGAAACAAGGGCAACTTTCAAGTGGGTTCATAGATCATCCAATGGGTTGGCTAGACAAGGGGCAGATAGAAATCAGTTGTATCGAGGGAATTGTCTCCCAAGGAGTTCGCTTGTAGGGAATTGCCTCCCAAGGAGTTCGCTTGTAAAATTAAATGTAAAAGATGTTATAGGGGGTAGGGAGATGGGGGTAATTTATCAAAGAGGGGTACTTGGTGGTATTCATCAAAATTCATGGGGTGCTTTGATTGGTCAAAGCTCTTCTGCTACCATGCCTTTCCGGTATCATAGATTTTCCCTTCCTAAAAATATCATTTTTCAAGAATTCATTCCCCTTCTTCATTAATGATTTTCTTTTTCTAGAAAAAAAAAAAAAAAAAAAAAAACTTTGATTCCTACAAATCCACATTCCGCAATGGTTCAAGCAGTATTTTACTGATTGTTGATTTTTATGTATTTTGATTTCTCAATAAAAGTCGTACGATTAATTAGGATATCAATGTTCTAAAAGTGCAAGGGAATTTTTTACACCCAATGCACAAGATGCGGCATCGACGTGCACCTTTTGGAAGCAAGGTGCATTTTTTTTTTCAAAAAGACAAAAGAGTTAAACTAAATAAAACTAAAAAATAAAAATATATTAATTCATAAAAAATGCATACTTGAACTTTAAAAGAAATTAAGTGCCCGTTGGGGAGGGCTTTTGCACAGTAGCTCCTCACGTTTGGGCCCCACATGAAAAACGCAGAAGCTATGTTTGGTAAAAATCTGGAACGCGGGCATGCACGTTCCAAATGCCATTTTTATGACTGTTGAGCGAAGCTACTCCAAGTAGCTTATCTGGAACACACACACACTCAACCATCGCCGCTTCTCAATCAGAACACAGAAGCCCTCCCAAATGGAGAAAATTCATGGGAGGTTTTGATTGGTCAAAGCTCTTCCGATATCGTGTCTTTCCAGCATCACTTTCAATTTGTTTATTTCTCTCTAATTGCATTACTTCATGTGGCTAATGGGATGTTAAACATCTTACATTCCTAGCTCTACAAGATCAGTCCCCTGCCTCCGTACAGGTCCCTTGAGGCAAGCCCAAACAAGTTCATGCAAGGGTCATAATTTCTTTGGCCTGTATATAAAGAGATGTTTTGTGATTTTAGAATTAGGGTATTTGAAAAGTCTTTCTTTTTATTTATTCGAAAGTTAATAAACCGTTACTAATTGACAAATAGTATTTAAAAATAATTTAGAAGTTGAAAAACCATTACAAAAATGTGAATTACCAACCTGAACTGAGACACAAAGCACACCAAGCATGTTCCGTTTCACAGGGGCCATGCCTGAGATGAGGCAAGGTACATACCTTGAAATGCACCACACCTATGTGCCTATGCACCTAAGCATGCCTTTCAAATCACTTTAGGATATGCATTATAAAAATCATAAAAGTAAATTACCATGAGACTGAGGTTCTAAAAAACATGCCTGTGAACTTCATAAATTGATTTTGCTTGCAACTTAAAATAATTGATTATTCTCATATAAATGAAACATGGTTGTAAAGGTGACGCTTAGGAGACAAGGTGCCCTTGGAAGCTTGCCTTGCCTAATCACCAAGCAGTTTTGTTTGTTGTGTTGTAAAATACTTTTATATTCTTAATTTTTTTAGATTATAATTATAAAATAGACATTATTAAACTAAAATACTCATTTTGTGCTTTTATATACTAATTTCTTTTTATTATTTTCTTCTTATTCTTTTCCTATAACAAAAAAGGGGTTCAACCCCTATATTTTTTTTTATTTTCTTTTCTTTTTTTCTTTTTCTTCTCATGAATATGTTGATTTTCTATACTTCAACATGAAGTCTATACTTTTCTTATGAAAATTATGGATATCATTAAGGAAATATGGTTATGAAACCTAGGGAACTACCCTAGGATATATGTTTTAGTTAAAAGAATCCATCGCCTAGGCCTGGTTCAGTGCACGACATGATCATTAAAATGTATTAGTTGAAATAAAACAACAAACAATCGAAGATATGCTCATATATGGTTGGAGATAAGACCTTGAACAGAGTCATCATGTTAATCATTATTTAGACATAATCATAAAAAAATAATCATTTAGACATCCTACAATTACCTCTAAGGAGATTGCCGATATAGTCTTTTGATCTGCATTTCTCACAATTGGAGTCATCAAGCCCTGCAATTCAGCAAAGAAAACATATAAAGGTGGATATAAGCTCTTAACTTATCAAAAAAATAATTATAAGCTCTTAGACTATATTTTACAGGCATATACCTTCTCAGTTGCAACTGCTATAGATATGTCAACAGAATCACATAAAATGACCTCTCCTTTGTCAGCATTCCAGTAAGCTGCCAAGAATCCCAAAATGACAAACTTGGGTTAAATTCTTAAGCATAAAGCAGGTGTTATTCCAAGTACAAAACAACAAGATTAACAACTGGAGAAACAAGATTAAGTTAGTAACACAACTTTTTGATCACACAAAAGAAATTAGGTAAAATTGAGAAAAATATGAAGATAAAGATGAAACAAGGATGACAAGATTGTCAGTACCAATCCAAGCCCTCAATTTGAATCTTAAAACCAAAGAAAAAAAGGAGAATTATTTGTATCTTTCAACCTCTCAAGAAAAAGAAACTGCTTTTGGAATTCATAAAATTTATAACACTTAATTTTTTATAATACTTAATTCTTAGAAAGGGAAATTAACTTTACACCACTATCCTACTAATACAATTTTATGGCCATACCTCCAACATCAAAAGAATTTACATCCCTAGAGTGTTCTTCAAGATGTAGCCAAAGAAAGAGGAAGCTATATTAAGGAAGGAACCTAAGAAATTGTCAATCCAACCTTCACTGTTCAATAAAGTTTTTTTTAAAGCCATTGTTCAACAAAGTTGGGCAATCAAAATTCCAATCCTAGAGACAGAAGTTGATACATGGTGTCTCTTGGATTTGCATGTATATACCATGAGGAATGGCCTTGTTGCAAGAAGAAASCTCAGTACAACACAAAGAAAGAAAATATTTATATGAAAAAGCGTAAACCTTTCGAAAAGGAAAATGACAAGAAGCAAGAACAGCAATGCTTCAACAATTGATTAACTTGTGCATTCAACGAGCACTTTCCAACACCTAGAAAACCATGTCTTTAGTAATCTTCTACAGAGAAGCCTAACTTATTGGAGGAATGTCTTACCATTTGCCTGGGGTACATTTTTCAGTGCAACTGCAACAGCTTTGATGACTATGTCATTTACTGAAACTTTAACATCATGCTGCTCTGCATGATAAATAAGACATTGGAGTGATATTAATCCAATTGCCCGATAAGAAGAAATCAAGAAAACAAGAAATAGACCTTTAAGATCCATACCTTTAAGTTCCTTTCTAAAAGCTAGAAGAGGATCCAGTGTGACATCTGATAGAAACCATAGCACATTTTAATCATTGAAGTTGACAATAATACAAGTACTCTGATCTAGGAAAGTGGTCAAACCTGAAGATAAATATAAATGTGGTGTACTTTGTTTTGATTCCAACAACCGTCTTGCAATAACCTGCAAAAACAACAATGTGTCACAATATCATTCAAAATGTGTTTGCAACATATACAAAATAAGTATTGCATTTAGATGCCCCTGTGCATGCAAAAACAGGGGCTAAACAAAGTAAGTTTTGTTCTATGTTTCTAATTATGAATTGAACTTTTAGAACTAAGTGTGGAAACCAAGCAATTTGTTAGTAGAGTAGCACAACTAAACCCAAACATAGGACTTCATTCCTATTTAAAGGTTTAACTTAGTGATACCAAATAAGTTTATGCAGCTTCTTGGTACATTAAGCCTAACAAGTCCACTTGAGCCCAATTGAGCAACCCAAACCTGACTTGGGCCTGAGCCCAACCCAACCATGTCAACTTTCAACTTGGGTTTGATTAGGTATGGCAACAGGGCGGGTTCGAGGCGGGGACCATACTCCTTGCCCCCAACCTCGACTTTGAAACAAATCCTCATCCCCAACCCTAATCACTGCCAGGGATAAAAATGTCCCTCCATCCCCGATCCCTGACAGGTACAAGTCCCCCGTGGAGACCCAATTCACCGAAAATTTTAAATTAAAATTATTTTTAGAAAATAGATTTACTTAAAATAAGGAATTTTTTTTAAAATAAAAAAATACTTTAAATATATATTGATATATAATATAAATAATATTATATGTGTATATATTTAATATATATAATCAGGGTTGGGGTATAGCTTTAGTCAAAATGCTCTCATGTTTCAACCAAAACTCAGAATACTAATGCTCTAAATTTAATATGGACCATAGAAAAACCTCAGCCTCTCATTTCATGGGAGCTGAGATCATAAAGTGGGACACCATATCATAAAGTGGCACACATGCCAATACAAGGGGGTGCGGTCATAATTCATTCCCATAATATATGATTTTCACATACTAGCATTTGCCATTTAATATTTCAGTCAACCAATTAAACTTACCTAGGTTTGACTAAAACCATGCATTACAGGTGTCTCTTACACCAATATTCAAAAATAAAGTAAAAGTTCCTATAGGATGGTCTGAATGACAAGAAAAAAAAGAAATATACTGTCCAGTTCACTGGGGTAGAGTAACTTCTTCAAAAGAGAACAGAATTTGGGTATCAAGCCAGTGGATGTGATGAATAAAGCTAGTTAAGTGGTTATGGAGGTTCAGAAATGAATCTAATTCTTTATGAAGGCAGGCTATCCAAGCAAATTCTGTGAAGCCAGAGGATGTGATGTACTCTATTGTTTGAGTTTGTGGAAGGGTATCCTTAAGCATTCCAATCATTTTCAGAAATTTATCTCCTATACAGTAAGTAATGACAGATGAGCCTTATTCTGGAAAGGTGGTGTGGGAGTAAACTCTTGATGAGGCATTTCTGGGGCAGTTTCAGTTTGCATACAACAAAAACAAAACTGTGTTAGCCTTTATCACGTGGAACGTCTACATGCTTTGTGCCTTTGCTTTGGAGTTGGATTAGCATCTTCTTATTCATTGTAGTTTTTCTTCCTCAATTAAGCAGCACTTTGTGAAGTTGTTCGGGCATACATGGGTAGTCCCTGCCTCCCTGGTGACCTGTTTTGCTTAATAAATTTGTGTCCTGTCAAAGGATTCAGCAAGAGGGGGAGCATCCCATGGAACTTAACTCCTTTCACCATATATTGGGGATTGTGAAAAGAGAGGAAGAGAAGATTTTTTTAAAGAAAGAAGCTCGAGGTTCAGCAGCTGATTAGGCATAATTGATAAGTTCATCTTGGCAACAACCTCTGTGTGTCTGCAGGGGTAAGGCTGCACATATCTGTCCCTCCCCAGACTGTGCATTGGTGGAAGCCTCATGCCTTGGGCTGCCCATTACTTAAGGCTGCAACTTGGGTCGGGTTGGCCCTAACCCAACCCGAAAAAATTGGGTTGGGTTGGGTCGGGTCGGGTTGATGTTCGGGTTAGGGTTAGGGTTGAAATTCATGAACCCGACTTTACTTCGGGTTGGGTTAGGGTTGACCCCTTAGCAAACCCGACCCAACCCGAACCCGACTCTATAGTACATGTCATATATAAATATATGTTATATGTAATATATAGCATACATTGATTTGCTTAGATGCATGATGTTTGTATAGCCCCCACCACATAGTATCATGTATTTCTTTTAAGATAATCACTTCACTTAATCCTAATCAGAAAGACTAAAACCTTAATAATATTATTTTATGTTTTTTTGAAAATTTTATTCTTCATCTCCTCTATGTTGTTTGCCGCCCAAGAAAGATTTATCGTAAGCCATAACTCATAATAAACTATAGTTATTTCTAACACTTGTTTTTCTAAATTGTGTACCAAAAAAACAAAAAAAAAAAAAAACGTCAACAAGCAAATACTAATGAAACATAGGTTTAATATATGTAGTGAAAGTTGAGTTAAGATCTAAAATCAAAAAATTTATGAGGTTTTAAGGGATGGGAAGAAGGTTGGGTTGGGCCCAACCCAACCCGAAATTGACTTTGGGTTGGGTTAGGGTTAGGGTAGGGTTGGTCGGGTTGGGTTAGGGTTACGGTTGTGGTTGAACTTAGGGTTGGGCTAGGGTTGGCCTCAACCCGACCTAACCCGGCCCGACTTGCAGCCCTACCATTACTTCATAGGCTACTATCCATTAACAGACTCAATTTTCTGATTTTGCAGGGGCTCTATCATTTCTGAGTAGTAGGTTCTGTGAAGGACAGGTTCCTTCCCATTGTACTGGGCTCTTGCCTTCTCTTCATCTCTTTAATAAAATTTCGTTAACTATCAAAAATGTATTTCAAAACTATTAATAATAACAAAGAAACAGAAAATTACATAGTAAATATTAGGAAATATTTTTATTCTTAGAACTACATGTAGAATGCATTTCTCAATAGCCATACCTTTGAAAGGAGAAGTCATCCCCTGGAATCAGTGATTGGTGGAAGCCACTGCTTTGGTGGCCCTCCATGCTTAAGAACTTTGGAGGTTTATGGAAGCCACTGCTTTGCAGGCTTCATGTCTTACAGAATTCAAAGGAATCTCTTTCATTTGAAGACATGTACAGGACTACAGGGTTGTCAGTATCTCATGCTAGGTATTTAACTTAACTTAACTAAGCTTTATCCCAACTGTATTGGGGTCAGCTACATGAATCCTTTTCTTCCATTCTGCTCTGTTCAGTGCCATGTCCATGCTATAGGTATTTATAGCCATGTAACTCATACCTTTCAATGGGAAATAACAATACAACCATTTATTACTCATTGACAAAAAAAAAAAAAAGCTTAGCAATATTTTTCTGATCTAGCAGCAGTAAGTTCAGATCAGAACATGGAGGCCTCTGATAGCGTCTTTGTACCTCCTATTTTGGTATTGACTATTATCTTTCCAAATGCAGGGAGCAATGCATACTTAATCACATAATGAACATGCAATTTGCATATCAACTAAATGGAAATTATGGTGAAACTTATCAAATTATTAAAAATTGGAAAATACAACTAAGTAGTTTGGTTAACCTGCCTTGCGAATCTGACTATTAGGCAAGTCTTCATATGTATCTGAATGTTGTAAAGAAGATCGCGACTCTGAAGAAGGTGCTTGAGAAATTTGTGATGGGGTTTGAGGTGATGAAGATGCCTTCTCTTTAGATTTATCTCTTGGAGATCTTGTTCCTGATTTTATTGCAGCTAAAACATCACCTTTCAAAAGTGTACCATGAGGCCCTGATGCCTTCAACGAAGATACATCTAATCCAAATTCAGCAATAAGTAACTTTGCAGATGGGCTTATCCTACTAAACTTTGTTTTCTGTGTCTTTCCATCATTTACTACATCTTTATGATGTGGTTTTTCCTCTTTGGCCCCTGAAGCAATGCTGACAGTATCTGGGAAATTTTTAATATCATCTGAATCTTCAACCTGGCAAACCAGTTCAATTAAGTGCTTGCAACATATTTGCTGCCTTGAATAGTTATAACTCCAATAAAAATTAGAGAGAAAATACATGTTGATAATCTATTCCAATTAAAAGAATAAAAAACATGAACAGGAATGAAAATAATTAACTGATCTATAATAGTTATCACAATTTACCGTTATTGCAATAGGCTGCCCAACATGAACATCCTTTGAGCCTTCAGGCACTAGTATCTTAACCAGGAATCTGCAAAAAGGTTCCACCAGAAATCATGGTAAAAAGATTTTCATGATTGCGTAGCCTAAACATACACCATTTAATTAAATAGTTAGCATTTTTCTCAGTAAAAGCTCCCATAATTATGGTCTACATTTTTGCTGAAAACTCCCAATCTCCCCACAAATTTCCTGTTTAAGAGGCTCCAAAATATCCTCTAGGCATTCCCATAACTATAGAATTTTGACAAATTATCAGTGGTAATTATTTATCAGCAATTATTAGTATATTGTATTTGTAGTATTTGGGAATGCCAAACTTTAACAAAAAGGTAACAAGGCAAAGGAAAAAGTTTTGAGATAACACCCAATTCCCAACATAGAACAAATTTGAAGAACAAACCCACAACAGGAGGTATGGGAGAGGAGAGGAAGTTCAAGCTGGCGGGGAAATGGAGACTGGAATTGTCCATTGAAGCAAAATCTTTCYTGTTTGAGCAGGGAAGGACAAAGGGGAAGGCTCTCTTGAAAATCAGAGAAGGGAGCAGGGCGTCGATTCTCCTACCAGAGGAGGCCTGTGTGTGGTTGAAAGGTTTTGTAGATGGAGCTGTAAATTCCTTTCGGGAAGAAGGTTGGAGAAACTCGATGACCTGTGAGAACAAGAGGTTCGAATCTGTGCTAAAAAGGAATGGAAAAGGGTGGTTCATAATGGTCACCGAACTCTTTGGTATTAACAAAAAGCAAGTGATGTGTATTCCAGAAGGCCTGAAGCGGAGAGGGTGGGCTTCTTTCGCTTCTACTCTTCAGGCTTTTCTCTTGGAGGTCGAAGGTAGAGTAGAAGAAGCCCCTGGCTCGAAGGTTTGTTCTGTGCCCCGCCCAAAGCTTTACCCTGAAGTCTTGGTGTCCAGCTCGTCTGTCCTCCGACGAGCAGCAGTGGAAGAAGGGAGTGGAAGCTGGGAGAAGAGGGTGGTCTTAGTGGCAGAAAGGGTGATAGAAGATTGAACGAAAGTTTTAGAAGTTTTAGCAGAGAGGTTGGGATTAGAGGAAGATGTAATGTTGCTGCCTTTTGCTGAAAAGAAAGCCTTACTAGATATTGGAGATAAGAATCTGTTCTTCAGTTCTTTCCTTGTAGAAGGAAGTTTG